AGGATCAGTTCCTCGAGACCTCGAACTCTGAATTTGGCCTTTTGTGTGTCGGTGATAATTGGAAATATTTCTTTGAGATTCCTGTCAGTTAGTTTCAACCATACTGTTGAGGTTACGAAGCTGTTTTTCACATCAGTTTTGTTTACTTGATGACATTGAAGAGAGAAACTCATGTATATTGCTCTTTCCCGTAGTTATTGGGGTTATCATGCAAGCCAGGAGGAATTGAGTTTTCATCTATTTTGGTTTTTATCATATGCGTTTCATCCCCAGCAGCAAGAATTCCATGGATATCTTTCTATGCATATATCCTATAGCTGAAGTGTTTCTACTTTCTACCATGCTCATTACAGAAGAAAATGTGATCAGTATTACACTTGCCCTTGCCAGAGATGATATCGAAATCAATTAGTGTCTCCTATTCAATTCGACACCAGCACATTTGGCGAATTTGACCAACTTTTTGGTCATACCAACATCACACTTGAATCCCCATTAAGTTTTATTCTCAAGTGATCTTGTGACATCATACAAAAACTTTGAACACCATGCAAAGAGATTCAATGATTGAGAAATTTTGGCATAAGCCACAAAAAAGGATGAATATGTTGTCAAATGCTTTACGAACATTTGAGCTGAAACCACATGAGATGAAGAATGTGTTGTCAAAGTGTTTTACGAACTATTTATTCTGATGTTGAACCAATGTTGTGATCATATGGTTTCCATTTTTGATCCAAGATGAAGTTTGTCTTCTTCAACTTCAAGATTATAAGTTGAGATATGATGAAGATTTCTTTCCGCAAAAGGAGAGCTGAAATTTTAACAACAAGAAACTAGTTGAACGACAGGTTGTTGTTAAGCATCTCGACATGATATGGTCCAAGTTGCCTTATTCGATATCTGATTAGATGTAAAGACGTGAAAGGAATTGAGATAAATTTTCCTTATGATGTGTTTCAAGAGTCAAATCAGAACAGACTCTACTCCCCTAATTAATCCTCGCTAAGTCACATATCTACATCTACACTCTTCAAAGATGATAGATTCTCTTTTTAAAGATGATAGATTCTCTTTTCAAAAATGAAAGCTTTATGGGATTTCTACACAAAGTCCAAGCAAACAAAGTTGGTTTTATCCAAGACAAAATGGAGCATCAGGGTCATAATTTTGACTATGACAAGAGTTCCACAAGTGAAACATTTCTTCTGAGACTTAAATGAAGCAAAGAAAATGCAAAGATACAAGTTGATCAGATGATTCTGTAGAAATGCAAGCTTGACAGCATAAGTTTCTACACTGATATCCAGAGGTAACCATGGCAATAAATGATGAAGTGAAGGAAGACCAAGTTCACCACTTTGAAGTCAAATGAAGATTGCATCAACATTCATGCATTCATAAGAATATCATTTACACAATAGAAAATGCATTACATTGATACATCTGAGTGCATTCAAACATAAAGTTTTACAGATCTTCGGAAGAACAAGAAGATTCATGGTAAAAAATACCTTACACAAAGAAGGTATTCAAAACCACAAATACAAGAATCATGCAAACATCTGAAGAAGAGATGGACGTAATCCACAAAAATGAGCATTATCTTCAGATTGGGTCATGTTACCCAATCAACATGTTATTTCAAAAAACAGAATGAGAAAACGATTTTCATAGTTTCTCATTTTATCTTTTCTAAAATGAAATTGTTGAAAAGTAAGAAAACGATTTTCTTAGTTTGTTTACTTAGTAAACTATTTCTAACAGCCTTATCTTGAGATTGGGGGATGTTACCCAATCAACATGTTATTTTGAAAAAATATGAGAAAACGATTTCCATAGTTTCTCATTCAATCTTTTCTAAAAATGAAATTGTTGAAAAGTAAGAAAACGATTTTCATAGTTTCTTACTTAGTAAACTATTTCCCACATCTGTAAGTCATGCAGTGCATGATGTTTCCAAAAAGCCTTCGGGAGCTTTTTGATGTTTTCAAAGCCTTAGGGTCATCTGTAAGTCCTGCAGTGCATGATGTTTCCAAAAAGCCTTCAGGAGCTTTTTGATGTTTTCAAAGCCTTAGGGTCATCTGTAAGTCCTGCAGTGCATGATGTTTCCAAAAAGCCTTCGGGAGCTTTTTGATGTTTTCAAACCTTCGGGTCATCTGTAAGTCCTGCAGTGCATGATGTTTCCAAAAAGCCTTCGGGAGCTTTTTGATATTTTCAAAGCCTTAGGGTCATCTGTAAGTCCTGCAGTGCATGATGTTTCCAAAAAGCCTTCGGGAGCTTTTTGATGTTTTCAAACCTTCGGGTCATCTGTAAGTCCTGCAGTGCATGATGTTTCCAAAAAGCCTTCGGGAGCTTTTTGATGTTTTTAAAGCCTTAAGGTCATCTGTAAGTCCTGCAGTGCATGATGTTTCCAAAAAGCCTTCGGGAGCTTTTTGATGTTTTCAAAGCCTTAGGGTCATCTGTAAGTCCTGCAGTGCATGATGTTTCCAAAAAGCCTTTGGGAGCTTTTTGATGTTTTCAAAACCTTAGGGTCATCTGTAAGTCCTGCAGTGCATGATGTTTCCAAAAAGCCTTCGGGAGCTTTTTAATGTTTTCAAAATCTTAGGGTCATCTGTAAGTCCTGCAGTGCATGATGTTTTTAAGACCTCTGGAATGATGTTTTCAACATTTCAGTTTTACTTAAAAGAAGTCAAATGAAAAATTATTGTTTTTTCTTCTTTGCTATATTCTTGTTAAAACAAGAATGAGCAAAGAGGGGCAGTTGTAAACACCAATTTTTTATTTTACTTAAATTATTATTAAAATTATTATTATTATTATTAAATATTATTATTATATATATATATTATATTATTATTAAATAATTATTATTTACAAACAGGCCCAATGAAAACTAGACCAGCCCAGTTACAAACAAAACAGAACCGGCCCAAACCAACCAGAAACCCTAAAACATTTAGGGTTCAGCTAGGGTTTCTAAACCCTAGCTCCAACCCCTGCCTCAAGCTTCCAGAAGCCACAGTCGCCGCTCATTGCCATCTCCACGTTGACGCTGCAGCTACCGCCACGCCTCGCCAACAGAGGATTCCAGAAGGCCAGCTGCCCCCCACACGTCGCGGCTATGGGGTGAGTCACCTCATAGCTCGGTGACTCACCGAACTTCCCCCTCTGGACCGGTCCGAGCATGGCTCCGTGGTGGCTATAAAAGCCACCGGATCCTGCAAAACGAAAAAAGAGAGGACAACAAACAGAAACGGAAAAACAGAGAGCAAGAGTCCACAAAAAAACAACAAGCAACAACCACACAACCAGCAGCAAAACCAAAACGAAGAAAAAGCAGAGAAAAAGAAGAACTCACCTTAGAGGTTCCGCTCATCACTGGAAATCAAACGTCGCCGGAATCGTCACTAAATCGAAGGTAAAAAAACCTTCGGGTTTTTTTTAGATCTAAGACGATCTAGGTATGTTTAGGTAAAAAAGAAGGCCATATCTGGCCTTAGGATCGAAAAAGGGATATTTGGGAGTGATTTCTCGAATTCCGGCCACCGTTCACGGTGATCGGCGGCGGCGATCGGAGCCGGAATACAGTGACCGGTCGGGAATAGCTTCCCTCCGATGAGGGAAGCTAGAGAGAAGGCAGAGAATTCTGGTTCTCTCGTTAGAGAGAGAACCAGAAGAGAGAAAATGAGAAGCCGACCCTTAAGGGTCGGCCTTTTGGGGATTTTAAACCATTCCCCAAACGATGCCGTTTTGGGGGAGGGATATATCTGTAATTTCTCACGTGGGTAAACCATACCCGCTGCCACCACATTTTTGTAACTTTTCATTTTGGTCACTGAAATCAAATCATGAACCTTTTGATTCGGTCTTTCGATTTTATTTAGTTTATAATTTAGTCCTAGACTGTATACTTATATATATTTAGGGTAAATACCGTATTTAGTCCTTATAACTTTAATAACTTTTATTTTGACCTCTAATTAATTAATTAAGGATTAATTACATTAGTAACACCTAGTTTTTATAATATTTCAAACTAGAGCATTTAATCTTGATATGTCATAATTTAGTCACTAATTTTAATTATAAGTTTTATTACTTTTTATATTTAATTTTATTATTTATATTTTAATTTTATATGTTTAAATTATTATTTTCATAATTATTTTATTATTATCTTATTCATATAAATATATACCTATATTCTTTTAAATAATAATGTTTATTTATTTTCAATATCAAAGAAAATGGCAGTCTTAAAACAACTGGATGTCCTATTCTGGTATTTTAAATAATTAAACATTATGAAAATTATAATTTAGTTTTATTTAAATTATTAAATTATTAAATTATTAAAATTTTAATATTTATTTTTATTTATTAATATTGAAGAAGAGAGCTGTCTTAAGGTACCTAGAAGCCATTTTCTTATATTTTTAAATAAAGAAATATCTTACTATATTAAAATAAATTTTTATTATCTTAAGAAAATGTTTTAGTCATTTATTTATTTTTTAATATCGAATAAAAGAGCTGTCTTAAAGCACATAGAAGTCCTTTTTTGATATTTCTAAATAAATAAATATTTTTATAAATATATTTAAATTAATATATTCTTAAAAATTATAGTAATAAAATTTGAAATAATATAATTAAATATATCTTTGAATTTTTAAATTTCCAATAATAGAGACAATTTATAATTAAAATGTACCAATTTTGGGCGTTGTAGGGGTGCTAATCATTCCCTAAACGTAACCGACCACGAATCCCTTTTTATTTCTAAAAAGAATGAATTTTTGGTTAAAACGCAGATCAGTTTATCTTTTAACTAATGTTTTCTTAAAAACTCTTTTAAAAGATAATTTTTTAGGTATTCGACCTACCTGACCCAAAAGGCCGATGGCGACTCCCAAATTATTTTAAACTATTTATTCACATCACTTTTCCCGTCAAGTAAAAAAAATTCGTGCCCGGACGAAAACCGGTTACGACAGGTAGCATTCTCGGCCCATCCTCTTTAACAGCTGTCACAACCAAGGGTCTGCCTGTACTTCTGCATCTTCAGAATGGGGTTGTCCGGTCTTCGGGAGCACTTAGAGTTCTTTCCATTTCCAGTTGCATCGGATTGACATCATTACAGGCGGCGGGTGATATTTTGTTGAATATTACTGCTATAGAGCATCTGAAAATTAAGAACTGTTCACGGTTTTCTGAGACAGGGTTCTTTCCCATGCTGAAACATCTTACGCTCAAAGATTGCCAGAGTCTAAAGTTTCTGCCTAGTGCAATTACGATGATTAGTTGTCCTCTCGAAGAATTGAAGATCGAAGATTGTCCGGCTCTCACATTTTTTGCAAATGGCAGGTTACCGACTGTACTTCGACGTTTGAAAATCAGGTTCTGTGAAGCTCTAGTTTCTCTACCACAGGGACTGATGCAGATCGATAACAGCACAAGCAACGTATCTCATCTCGAGAACTTGGAGATCGTCGGTTGCCCTTCTCTTATTTCATTTCCAGAAGGCAAATTTCCCAGCAGCCTTAAAATACTTAAGATATGGAGATGCTTTCGATTGGAACCCCTTTCTGATACGATGCTGCCCAAAAATGGGTCACTCGAGCTCATTAGTGTCTTTAATTGCTCGAAAATGACATGCTTGCCCGGGTGCATAAACTGTCTCACGCATCTGACTGAATTGAACTTACACAAGTGTACTGCTCTAAAATACTTCCCAGAAACCGGCTTGCAATTTCCCAACCTGAGAAAACTTGATATCTACGAGTGCAGCAGTCTCAATTCCCTTCCTGATCAGATGTTAAGTCGCACCTCCCTTCATTATTTAACAATCGGTGAGTGTCCTGGTCTTGTGTCATTTCCCAAAGCTGGCTGGCCTCCTAACCTATTGGCACTCAAGATCTGAAACTGTGAAAATCTTAAGCAACCGTTGTCGTAATGGAACCTGCACGATCTGGCCTCTCTCAGCGATTTGACCATTGCCGGTGCACCTGATATAGTTTCCTTTCCAGATGAAATGTGCCTGCTTCCCACAAGTCTAATGTCTATGTATATATCAAGACTTCATAATTTGCGATCTCTGTCCGTGCGGCTCTGTGATCTGACCTTGCTTAAAGAGCTGGAAATCTCCGAGTGTCCTAAACTTCAGTGCTTACCGAAGGAAGGCTTACCTGCAGACCTTGGAAGATTTTGCATCAGGGACTGTCAACTTCTGAAACTACATTGTTTGGATTGTAAAGGGGCATACTGGCCTATGATATCTCACATCCCATGTCTGGAAATAGAATCCACTGATGATTAAGGGTCAGATGTTCTAGTTTTGTATTTTTCTGAAATAGAACTGAAACTGTTCCCGGTCAACCACCGTGCATGGAGACCTTGTTTATCCAAACTCGGAGACGACCTCACCAACATCTCCCTCGGACTCCCAAATCTACCGGGTGGCTACCCTGTGAACCATTCTCAACCCCCCCCCCCCTTTCTTTGCATCGAGAATATTATATGATTGTATTTTTTAATTCTACTGCTTGGACTCATCCAAGTGTTTCTTTTTCATTTACTTTTGATATAGAAAGTAACAGTAGTGTTCTTGGGAGCGGAAAAAAAAGTATTGATTTCCATACAAAATTAACAACATTTTTCCTACGACAGACAGCAATCTAAGATTAAAAGTAGATCAAAGGTGATGGTTTCATGGGACGCCTTAACTATGAAACTAAAACATCATAGTTCAGCCCAATGATGCAAACTGTCGAATCGACACCCTTGGAACCAAAAAAGCTTATTGAAAAACTAAAACAGAAAAAGTGCAAAGGGGGACAAGAATGACCGGAGTTACTTGCATGTCAGACGACAATAGGTTGCTCACCTTCAAGCTCGGATATGACTATCAGTAAATCAGTCTTTTCTATGGAGAGAGGTTCTGTCTTTGGAGTTGGGTTAATAACCTGTGGTGCAACGAAGACCCGATTAAGCATTGAAGTAAAACATGTTTAGAATCGAGCAAGAGCCTTGGGCACCTATCGATTGTCCTTCACGTATCCTATCGCAACTTCTTGAGCATGCTCTCTTGGTTAGCTCAGAGAACGATGGGTTCTGTCCTTTCATGTAAAGACCAATATCCTGTCAAGAAACATAGGTAAGTAGCACCTCCACAACGTTTTTCTAAGGTCATTTTTACATGTATGAAGGATTAATTTATCGTTAAGTAACATTGTAGCAGATTACTTTAACGGAAAGTTGCCATTACCTTCACGTATATTTCATTACCTTCAGCATTCAAAATGTCTTTCCAAACCTCATTAAGATCACTGTGCTTGGCCACTGTTATGCAACACATACAGTTATTTTTAAAAAAAAGATTAAACATCGAAACAATATGAATATTGCTTATGTAACATCAAGACCTTGAGCTGTTGCGAGACTCGTTACTTCCTCGGCTGCAATATAAGTTAGATATAGCTTGATTCTCATAATCTGCAGGGTTTGATTGAAGCACTTCAACAATACGTGAAAAACCTCAAAAATCGAAGATAATGAAATAAGAAAAGTTCAAATTACTTGTTTGCCTAATTTCCAGTAGACTATCTCTGCAAACAAATTTTGCACCTGCAGAACACTCGACAACCATTCTCGAACTAGTTTGTCACGATATTAAAATTCAAGATCATGAGATTATTGAGGATTACAGTGAAACAAACTTACCGTCACTCCGAGTTTGTTGCAGATATTTTCGGCAAGAAGAAGAGAGTATGCAGATTGCTTGTCTGCTCTAGATGGCTCTGAAAAGTAAATAATTCCTTAAAGGATAAATTTACTGATAGAAACATCAACTATTAATGATCATTACCTCCTAGAAGACATTCTCTATCAGAAATCACAACAAGGGAAAGCGATAATGATTTCTTCAAGGGTACGATGTTTAGCTATCCGATAAATCGACAAGTCATATTTCTGTTCCAAAAGGAAAAGATTAAGTTTCGGTCCTGCAAACCACACAGTCCATCCTACAGAATTTCATCATCCTTGGGATGGAAGTATATCTGACCATCCCGATAAATACCACAAACAACTGCCTGAAAAGAAACCAACACAAGGAAACAGCACGGAAGTTCTTACCTCTACGAACACAAAGTTAAGCGGAAAGTGTTACCACATGGAAACCCCGTCTTATTTTTCTATAAGTCAGTCCTGTTAGACTAGGAAAACGGCAAAGATTGAATACGTTCTCTGCAATAATACGGCACTAGTTAGTGACGGTGAAGAAAGGTAGAGCACAACGACATGGACAACGATACCGAGTTTTATAGGTCGAGCTAAAAGAATCAGAACCATCCTGAAATATCTAAGAGTCGAGAAGTAAACAGGACATCATAATCGTTATGCACTTATGCTCTGTGTCTTTCCAACATCACAATAATAACAACTGTTAATGAGATCTTGTGCTTTACTTTTATAAATAAGTGCCTATATATCTTTCTGAGCCCCTTTTGCCGAGAACATTGAACAAATATTTTAGAAGCGACATTTTCTACTGGCTCGACTTTCAGTCCGGAGATTGACTTTAAGAGCTCACATGTTGTGGAATTTGAAACCTGCATCAGAAAAATGAAGGACCAAAATTAAACTCGACATTTCTCATCGAGTACTATTATTCCCATGGTTATGAAAATGAAAATACCTTGACAATTGTCAGTACAGATTCGACCTTGGGAATACGTTGAAGTGCTAATACAGATAGAAATGCATCAGAATCAATTCCATACCTAATCAGTTAACAGACAGTCATCACTAAACGTGAGCGTAGCAAAGCCTGGAATCATAATATTATTACGTAAATCTTCAACTAAACTTCGCAACATGGTTCTTTGAAAAGAAGTCGATAGAGGTCTTACTGGTCTCCTCTTGTAGGCAATATGACAATGGTGCGTGCCTTATTGGCTGCTGCTCTTTGAAATGATTTTGTCAAACTAAGTCTACAACTGCACAAGCAAAAGCCAATGTTTAAGAAATGGAAACTTAATGAAATGAATCGAATACACTTCGAATCAAATACGTTTTATGAAGTTTGTATGTTTGGTGAGGAGGACATTGTTCTTGTACCTCTTTGTAAGGACATCCATATGGTTAAGATCCTTGGCAACGTTGTCAGCTAGTTTGTCCATTTGCTTTCTCGGAAGATCTGACATAAGAAGAATTCTCTGCCTCCTATGAAAATATAATGTGTCGAAACGAATAATTATGCATGAAAAAAGGAAATAAAAATACGGTGGGGGCATAATGTTGACCTTGCTGTAGCAGTCCCTAAACGCACAGCGAATTCATGAGATCGATCTAGTTGCTTTAGAATGAAAGACATACAACCGTTTAAACCGCAAATGATAATATGATCAGACTCCAAAACTTGCATTTGTGCTCCTTCCCTGAGTTTTTGCATGTTTCTCTGTCACCAAAAATGAAATTTCAAAGGCATCTATGTCAGCTTATGTAAATGATGAGCTATTAGAAAAAAACGGAAGAGATAAAATGAGCTCTGGTAAGAACTACTTACTCTGAATTGTTCTGTCATTTTGCTTATGTAAATAATGAACTACTTTCATACAATTCATGGAGTTAGTTTATTCAACGAATTAGATAAGCAGGCAAAAGGTAAGCTTGTATCCACTTATATCTGATGTAGATGTCGAAATAAGTCATGGACTATCTTTGTTATTGAGTTGACAAACTCTAGTCGCATCAGTCTCGGTAAGAAAAGCGATGACAGAGTTCTAGAGACCAGTTTACTATGGTGATCCTTCACCTGCAAGGATGACAATCCAAGGAAAGACAGCATAATCATAAGAAGATAATGGTTGGGAAAAGAAAGATATCATGATTGCAGGTCTTCATATGAAGTCGAAAGAACATGTTATAGCATCAAGAAAGAAAATCCTTATTAACTATTTGGGAATTCAAGATTTAGGACTCACCGGAGAACTATTATGCAGGTCCTTCCTAAGGAGTTCATTATTTGAATTATCTGAAACACACTTTGTTAGTTGTACGATTGAATAGGTTTCCCTAGATTAATTCTAATTCTATTCCTAATAATTAGGATATTGTATTAGAGTAAGACTCTACAAGGTAATATAATTCTAGTAGTGAACTAACTCCATGAATTGCATAAAAGTAGGCATGTACTCCCGTAAATTCAATAACAATTATCAAGATAAAAGATAATTATTTTCTTCATATTCTATAGCTTTACGGTTATTTACATGTTATCAGTTGCCGGCGTCGATCCTAAATTTACTCCTACCACCGGGTGACAAACCTCCGATCATCAGCGCGTCTTCGTTGATGCGCCTTCTTCTTTGTTGTGCAGTCCCCATCGCAGCAACACCGTTGATGAATTCCTCGCTGGACTGCCACCTTTGCAGCATGACCCATCCTCCTCACAGCGCCTTCCTTGCGGTGTCTCCCTTACAGCGATGCCCTTATCACAGCGGCAACACTCCTGTTTATTACGGCCATTCAACAAGACCCATTTGCTTCTGCCGCCGTTTGGTAACTCTCCGACCAGCCCTGTCACCTCGCCGCATAGCCCATACGACAGTCTTCGTATCACCGATCTCCTCAATTCTCCTATTGTCACTTATAGCAGTGTCCCCTGCTAGTTCGCGACATATCTCAAGCCCTCAATTCACTTCTCCACCCAGCCAACGTCAACCATGACCGCTATTAACTCCTCGGATGATATCTTAGAGGTTTTCTCTCCCTTGCCTCATTCGATTTTTGCCGAGAATTCTTGTAACACCCCAAAAATCGGAATAATGACTGAAATGAAAGTTTATGAAATTTAGTGACTAATTTAAGAAAAATGGAAAAGTTCAGGGACTTAAATATGAATATTTTAGTATTGGATTAAATAATAAATATGGAAGGAGTGAAGGGCATTATGGTATTTTCAGCTTAAAGGATATTTTATCTCCTTTATTAATAGATAAACACGTGGGAGTTGAGAGAGATATCTGGAAGCTTATTTCTTCTTTCTTTCTTCTTCTTCCCGTTAGCTCCAGCTCCAAAGGTGAGTTAAGATTTAGCAGTTTATTTCTTGGATTTTAAGTTGGGTTTTGTTCTTTAAGTTCTATTTAAGCTTAATGAAAGCTTAAGTGGTCTTAAAATTAAAAGATGAATGAGTTAGGAATGATTAAAGATAAGAGGTTTATAAGTGAAATATTGGAACAGAGTTAGTAAGTAAAATTTGAGACTAAAATTGACTTGTCATCAGTTAAATTAAGAAGTAT